CCCTTCCCTTCCCTTCCCTTCCCTTCCCTTCCCTTCCCTTCCCTTCCCTTCCCTTCCCTTCCCACGAGGAACGAGGCGTCCTATGGGTCCTCGTGTGCCCCCATGGCGGGGTTATGGGGTAGGGGTGTGAAGGTAGGGCTGTACGAGGGGAACAGGTTAGGGTTGGGTTATGGGGTCAGGGTGAGGGTTGTAAGGTCAGGGTAAAGGTTCGAGTTATAGTGCTAGGTTTAGGGTAAGTGTTATAGGGTTAGGGTAAGGATTAGGGTTATGGGGTTAGGGTTATAGGGTTATAGGGTTAGGGTAAAGGTTAGGGCTATAGGGTATGGGTTACATTAAGGGTTTATAGGGTTAGGGTTATAGGGTTAGATTTATAGGGTTAGGGTTACATTAAGGGTTATAGGGTTAAGGTTATAGGGTTAGGGTTATAGGTAAAGGGTTATAGGGTTAGATTTATAGGGTTAGGGTTTGGTTAAGGGTTATAGGGTAAGAGTTATAGGGTTAGGGTTATAGGTTAAGGGTTATAGGGTTAGGGTTATAGGGTTAGGGTTACATTAAGGGTTATAGGGTTAGGGTTTGGTTAAGGGTTATAGGGTAAGAGTTATAGGGTTAGGGTTATAGGTTAAGGGTTATAGGGTTAGGGTTATAGGGTTAGGGTTACATTAAGGGTTATAGGGTTAGGGTTTGGTTAAGGGTTATAGGATTAGGTTAGATTAAGGGTTATAGGGTTAGGGTTGGGGTTATAGGTTAAGGGTTATAGGGTTAGGGTTATAGGGTTAGGGTTGGGGTTATAGGTTAAGGGTTATAGGGTTACGGTTATAGGGTTAGGTTAGATTAAGGGTTATAGGGTTAGGGTGAAGTGTGGGAGTGCTGCCTTATGGGGTTTGGGGGCACAGAGCTCCTTCCTGGGGCACCTGGCGCTGCCCTCTGGGGCCGCAGCTCGGCTCAGCCGTGTGAAAGAAGCAGGGGAACGGCATCGCCAACAGCGTGGCTGCAGTCCAGCACTCGGCATTAGAGCTGAGGGCACCGGGAGGCAAGCGTGGATTACATGGGAGCGACGGGATGAAGTGAGCAGCAGGCTGAGCGGGGGCTTGGGGAGGGGTTGCGTCCATCCTCAACCCTCTGCCCCTTTCTGGAGCGATGCCGTGAGTGTCTGAAGCAGTGCAGAGCATCCCAGGGCGGGAGGCAGCTGATAAGAACCTCGCCCAGGAGAGCCGTGCTGGTGCAGGTCAAACTGGCTGAGCGATGGGAAGCAGCCTGGCCTTTATGTCAGGGCTGGAATTGCAGGCTTTGAGGAGGGTCTGAGTCTTGCTGGGTGTGGGAATGGAGATTTATGCGAGCAACGAGGGCCTGGGTGCAGGAAGGCCTGAGCCACGTCTCTGCCTTTCTCCTGCAGAGCTGCTCTGGGTCTCCAAGTCTGATTCAGCACAGCATTTCACGCGTGCAGCTTTTGGGAGTTCCTTGGAACTGGGCTGCTCCCAATCGATAGCAACTCCTACACAGTGAGTGCTCCTGCTGCAGCCTCCTTCTGCTGCCTGCCTCCATCGCCCCACGCGCCGGGGAAGGGAGAGCAGGGAGATTGCAGGGCTGCGATCAGAAGCAAAAGGTGAGAATCAGTGAAGGCGAAATTGCAAGACGCTCCGTGGATTTAGTTCTGAGAGAGCTGTTTTCACAGCCTGGTTTAGCTGATAAGCTGCACGCTGGGTTTAACCCTCGGGGTGCTAAGAGATGCTCTCGATAATAAAACCCAAAGAAGGGGGAACAGCTTCTTGCTGCACTGCTGCTGTCCTGCTTGGAAACCTCTTCCAGGTTTCCAAGGGAAAGGAAGGGAAGCAGAACTCATTGCAAGCCGGGGCTGAGCCCTCGCAGAGCTCAGTGCATCTCACACCCAACCCCTTGCCAAGCTCTGCGCTCATGCTTTGGTTTCCCCACCGTGCCCGAAGGACCCAGCAGAGCTGCACCTTCGGCTCAGCACATGCGAAGCGCAGATGTAAAGGCTGAGGGACTGGCCCAGGGCCGAGCAGGGAGGGAAGAACACCATGAGCCTGGCTCCAGCTTTTAGAGCCGGGGCCGTGAGCTCGAGCTTCAAACACAAAACAGCCTCCCTTCGCCTCCAGCCTCATTTGGGGCTTGGTTTAGATAGGATGCAGGCACAGACCTGGAAGCAAAACGTTTTCAAGCTCCTCTGCAAGCCCCGCTATGGGGCAGAAAAACCCTCACCTCCCCCCATCCCATCACCCCCCTTTGGGGAACCCCCTCGGCTGCGAGGAGCACACATTGCAATGGGGGGGGTGGGAATGTTTGGGGGAAGCCCCCCCCCCTTCTCCCTCCCCCCCGTGGATCTCCCTTCTGCTGGGGTGTGCACAGCTGGAGCCCCAGCAGGGCCCTGCCGCTTTAAAGCTGCCTCTCCCATGTGCTGTCTGGTTGTGCTGGAGACGGTGACGCAGGCAGGACGTCAATGGAGGCTGTGGGAGAATTTAGCCTGGGAGAGGAAGGGGGGGCAGGGAGGGAGGAGCGGGGTGGGCTGGTGGCCCCTGGCTCCAACCTCGCGGGGCCGCTGAGCATCCCCAGAGCCCCGCCAGCTCTGCTGCCCTCCTGCCAGCTGCGAGGGCAAATAATCCGCTCCAGATTGCTGCCGTGGGCCACGTGAAAGCAACGCTTCCTTCCCCCCCCCCCCCCCTACCCTCCCCTCCTCCCCCGAACCCCAATCCAAGCTGTCACCGCACGTGTGCCACCCTTGCGGAGCTGAACGTGACCCCGGGCTGCATCCACGCTGCTCATCCCCATCCCCAATGTGCTGTGCCACCCCGAGGCTGCACCCTGAGGGACACCCATGCCTTGCTGCACCCTTGGGGGACACCCGCATCCCCCTGCGTTGCTCTGGGCTCTGCAGCATCCCGAGATGGGGACGCAGCGGCTCCTGGCTTTGCACCCAAGTGCCGGGCAGCCACGCGCCCACCGGTGCCATTTGCTCCTAGCACGAAAGGAGCCAAACCTTCTCCTTGCTTCTCAGATTTTTTGGGTGCCTTTTCTTTTTTTTTGCCTAATTCTTGACAGCCTCCCTTACAGAGGACGTAGGTGGCCGTGTGTGTTGCAGACCCAGGAGCCCTCCCTCCTACCCGCTGGCACAGAGCAAGGGAAAGCAGTTTCCACTGTCAAGAGGCTGCGCAGCAGCTGCACAAAGCCATCAGCGCGGTGTGGGAAGGGAGTTACTCAGCACTTGGTTCCCAAGAGAAAAACACCAAAAAAAAAAAAAAAAAAGAAAAGAAAAAAGCAGCTCGAGCTGACTTTCCAAAATGCTTTGAGGTTCGTAGCAATGTTCTCTTCTCAGTCTCATCAATATCCTTCCTGCTTTTCCACTCATGGACCGGCTCTGGAGCTGGGCGTTATCCCAACTGTTTTTATGTTTTATTTCTTTGGATGCGCGAACGTCGGTCGATTGGAAAACAAACTCTGGAGAATCCTTGAGGAAAGGCTGCAAACAGCTCTGGGTGGGATGACTAATCCCATCGCCGCCGAATCCAACGGGGCCCTAAAAATAGCTCGATTTCTAACAATAAATATCATAAAGTCGCTCGCTGACAACAAACAGCCCCAAAAAAGCCAGAAGCACGGAGAGGTCCGCTGGAAATGGGGGTGGGAAGGAGCCAGCAGGGAGGCACAGGGGTGGGTGTGGGAAGGGTGCGAGTGCCACATGGTGCACAGTTGCGTGCTGTGCACGGTGGAGATGTCCATATCTGCGCTTGGTTTTTTGTTCCAGCTTCGGGCAGCACGAGGTGCTGCTGATGCTGACGGCACGGAGCAGAGCCGTGCTTTGCTCCTCCGTGTGAGCAACCTCACCAACTCACATCTGGGTTTGGCAGATGTAAGGAAAGGCGCAGCAGGGCCGTGCGCTGCTGTATGGCATCACTGCGCTTGCGGCCGTGCCAGCGGTCCCCCTTTGGGACTCCCAGTCCACCAGCACGGATGGGGCCGTTCCCACCCTGCATTTCCCAGCTTCGCCCCTGCAGCACGGCCCCGCGTTACATAACTTGCTGCTGCCTTTCCCCGCGCGTGGAGCCTCCTCCCACACCCAGCGCGTTGCAAAACCACCCATCCATCCCCCCCCCCCCCCCCCCAACTCCGTGCCACTCGTCCCCCTTGGCTGAGTCACAGCATCTCCTCCTGGGATGGGTGTGGGGTGAAGCGCTGGGACCCGCAGCGTCCCCAGCACTGCTGGCACCCCACGCCCGTGGCACCCAGGTTTTTGGGTAGCTGGGGAGGCCTGTGGGTGAAGGTTTATCGGTGCTAAGGGGAAGGCCGAGCCGCATCCATTTTTGCAATCTAGCAGGGCAGGGATGCGCCCATCTCCGGTCCCCAGTTCTGGGAGCGTGGCCTCATGGACGCGCACAACCATCACTGCCTCAGCATCTCTATCCTTCACAGTACTGGGCTGCCACAGGGTGCAGCCCCACATCACTTGGACTGGCATTTCCCCTGCATGGAGACACTCACCACCATGTGAGCATCCTCAGGACAGCGAACCCCCTTAGGACAGTGAAGCCCCCTGGGACAACGAAGCCCCCAGCCCACAGCTCCCACCCTGAGCCCCAGCTTGTCCCTTCCACCCCACGCTCTGGGTGCACCTGCTGACCCCATCTGCACCCCAAACACGCAACAGCAGAGATTCCTTCCGACCTCCATTGCACGCAAGGGCGCAACGTCCTGAGTGTGAACAGGGACACCCAGATCTGGGCACACAGCTTCCAGACCCACAGCGCGAGGGGAAAAAGCGGTGGGATAAAACTGAATCCACACAGCAGCGCTCGGCACGTTGGCACCTGGTCGGGGCTGGGGGGGGTGGGCGCACCTCCGCCTCGCATCTCGTCGGCCACCAACCGCCGCCCTCCCAGCACCGCGTCCCGGGGCGGCGTTAGGAGGGGCTCCGGGACAGCAGCGCTCAGCCGGCGCCGTTCCCGCACCTCCTTTCCCCCATCGCTTCGCTTCCTCCGCGCCGCCGCGGCCATTGGCTCCCGCCCGCGCCGCGTCCTGACGCTGGGGCTGGGGCTGGGCCGGCCCCGGCGATGGTCGCTCTCCGCCGGCAGCGCCGCATCCCCCGCAGGCGGCTCCGCGAAGGCCCCCGCGCTCCTCTCTTGCGAAGGTGGGTCCCAGCGCTCGGCTCGTTTGTTTCTTTTTTGTTGTTGTCGGGTTTTTTTTTGTGTGTGTGTGTGTTGTTTTTTTTTTTCTTCCTGCTTTTTAGCTTCCCCCCCCCCCCCCCCCGGCGATATCATACAGACATACAGATATTTCTTTTTTCTTAACGTCTCCGCGCTGTTTACTTCCGAGAAAGGCCGAGCCGCTGTGTTTTTACCAATGCCCCCCCCCTCCTCAACTCAACCCAACCCCCCCCCCCCCACCCCCACCCCGTTCCCCACCCCCAGAGCCGAACCCCGCCGCGGGGGGGGCGGAGAGCACATCCTTCCCCCCCCCCCAACCCCAACCAACCAACCAACCAACCATTCCCCCCCCCTCCCCTCCGCCGCTTCAAAACAAACCGTCACCAAAATGGTGCAGAGGTGACGGAGGGAGAGGGAGGAAGGGGAAGAAGAAGGGGAAGAGGTGCCCGGCGTTGCGGGGACAGGTGAGAAGGAGGTGATGAGGTGGGGGGGGGAGGGGGAAGGAAGTGTCCCCTATGGGCGCTGCGTGCGGGGTGTTGAGGGGGGGGGGGTTGAGGATTGATTGGCAAGAGCAGCTTTAGGGTGAAGCGAGCGGTGCAGCTCCGCTGCCTTGGCCGGCTGCCGCCGTGGGGCTGACAGCTGCGATTGTTTGTTCCCGCGGCCCCTCCTGGGGGTGGTGGGGGTGGTGAGGGGGGGTCCCGCGTCGCCGCCGCCTTTGGACAGCGGCCCGAACCCGGCGGCGCCCCCGCCGCGGAGCGCTGCGTGGCTCGGGGTGGCCCGAAGCGGCCGCTGACCCGACCGTCTCCTCGCTTTCCCCGGCTCGTTCCTCGGCTTCGTTCTTGCGTTTTATTTCGTGTTTCGTTTTATTATTGTGTTTTAAATTTTCACCTCGCGCAGCCAGCGCTTCCCTCCTCGTCTTTTCCCCGCCGCTCCGAAGGGGCCCTTCCTCCCTTCTCCCTTCCTCCCTTCTCCCCCGGTTGCTGCCAATCCCCGCAGCCCCCTCCCTCCCGGCCAGCCCCACAGCTGCCCCCCCCCCCCCCTTCCCCCTTCCCTCCACTCCCCCCCAATCGACCCGCGTGGCTTTTCGTGCTGCCCATTCTCCGCCACCCAGGGGACGGGGCTGTCCCACCCCCAGCACGCTGCCACCCGCCCGCTCCCCTCCTCCAGGCAAGGAGCAGCACTTCGGGTGCAGGTAAGCTCCGTTCTCAACATATCCTTGCCTTCCTTGCTGCCCACAGCCTCACCCCGGGGGTACCCTGGGGAGCACTCCCCCTTCCCCCCATTGGGAGCTTCTGAAGGTCATGGACCTCTGGAAGCGCCTGGCGGCTCTCCCTCCCCTCCCTGTGCCCTTCAGCTCCCGCAGTTGTCGTGCTTTCACCGGGGCTGAGGCATCCCACACTTGTGCCGGGCTTCAAGCAGGTGCTCTGTGTCCCCAGGGTGGCTCTACTCGGGGAACACGGGGCTCCAATTTCGGTGGCACCGCCGGCACGGGTGCAGAAGGACGCAGTGATTGAGTGGGGTTGAGGCATTTTGGGGCACGGCGCTCGTGGGTTCTGCCCTGAGGCGCAAGCTTGGTCTGGCTTGGGCTCTCGGTGAGCTGGGCTTTGTCACTGTGTGACCTTGGGACGAGCCCTTGGTGCTGTGCTGGGGTCGGTGTCCCCTCCTCGCTGCTGGCTGTGTCCCAGCGTCGGGCAGGGTGGGGACGTGCGGTGCCGGCGTGGCCTAAAGGGGGCTCTGCCAAGTGAAACAAGTGGGGTCTGATTCTCATTTGCGCCCCGGCCCCTTTTCCTGCAACTCTGGCGATGTAAAGGAGCCTAAATATGGTCATAAAGCACAGCCACACCGAGGTCCCTCCGTGCTGCCGGGGCCGCGTAAAAGCATCTTTGTGCGAAGGAGAACAAAGCCCAAAGTGTCGGACGGGGAGTGGGACTTGGACCTGGCATCCTCAGCCAGCTGTGGTCCCCAGGGCACGTGGGGATAATGGTCCCAGTGCTCACCTGGGGCTGTGGGATGGCACGGGGACAGCTGTGCCACCAGCATGGCCCTTTGCAACCTATTTAAACCTGCATGCGTGCAGCACTGGGAAGTTTGCTCTTTTCTGGCTTGCTCTCCAGCTACACCCACGGGCGGTAGGGACCTGATGCACGATGCCACCCATGTCCCATAGTTTTGCTGTGACGTTTTATGCTGCCCTGTGTCCGGGAGGAAGGGGCTGTGCGCTGCCCACCTCCAAATAGGACGTGGCGATGCCGCGCAGCACTCAGGGCATCCCTTAAGCCCCCACCGTACCCGAGATGCGCCGAGCTGACGTGAATGCCCCGAGTGCACAGGCTGTGCTGGACTTCCCCATCTGCAACCAGAGCTAAAAATACCCCCATGCCTCACCCCAGTGCTGTCCCATCTGCAGGCTCTCCAGCCCCAGGGACTCCTGTGGCTGTTTTGCAGTTCCTAGGGGCTGAGCTGGCCGTGGCACAGAGGTGATGGGGTGGCAGGTGATGGCCCTGCCCTGAGCAGCGCATGGCTGCAGTGAGTCACTGCAGGGCAAGGATAACAACTGGGTGCCGTAGCATGGGTCGGTACCCTGTGCCTCCCTGTTCCCAAGGGATCTTGTTCCCCTCGTGCCCCACAGTTTTCCGCTCATCCTCCTCGTGCTGCGCCTCTCAGCTTTCCTTACCTTTTTTTTCCTTCTCGTTAGCGAAACTTTCAATCGAGGGCTGAAATTTGTTCATCATTTGGTTTGATGGGAGCTCAGGCAGCGCCGGAAGGACCTCGAGGTTCTCCCTGCGCCTCGGCTGAGCAGCAGTTTGCTTTTGCTTTCAAGATGGATCAAGCCGCCTGCCTGCCGGCAACCGCTGCCTTCGCAGAGCTGTCGCTTTTCATCTTGCGCTTTGCCTCTGTTTGCTCACAGTTTTTCTCTCGTTTCTCCTTTCTCCTGCCCTCGCTCCTGGTGTCACTCCCCACCGCGTGAAAAGAAAGGCGCCGGAGCAACGCGGCGCTTCCACACCGAATGCGCCGGTGTGGGGGTGAAGGTTTGCAACGCTCGTGGAAAAAAGCAGCCTGCAGGGGTTCGTTCCGCAGCTTTGCTTTCTCTTTGCAAAGATGTGGGGACTTTGGGGGGGGGGGGGGCTTCCAGTTTGCATGGGGAAAAACTTTGTACCATTTTTGCACCTTTCCCAAAGGGGCTGTGAGGGGTCTGTGTGCGCCCGGAACCCGTTGGAGCTGCCGGCTCTGTGCCACTGCTCAGCTGTGCATTGAGCAGCGCACGTGTTCTCCTTTGCAACATGCAATTAAACGCTCGTTTTCCTCGAGCTCCTCGGTGCTGTAGAGCGTCGCTGTCTCCAGGTTGCACAGCACCCATGTTCCCAGCTCTCTTTGCTTTCGTTGAACGGCACTCGCCTTGGGCCAGAGGGCAGCACTGGGTCCTGCTCAGCTGCTTGGAGCTGCCCCAGCACAGGGAGTGTGAGAGGCAATAGGGGCAATAAGGAGCAATGAGGCAGAGTGGAGCAGTGGGGGTGGTAAGGATCAGTAGGGGCAGAGTGGGGCTGTAGGGGAACAGTGGGGCAGTAGGGGCAATAAGGATCAATGGAGCAACGGGGGTAGTGAGGATCCATAGGGGCAGTAAGAGTAGTGGGGCAGTGGAGCAATAGGGGCAGTAAGGATCAATAGGGGCAGAGTGGAGCATTGGGGGCAGTAAAGATCAGTAGGGCAGAGTGGGGCTGTAGGGGAAGAGTGGGGCAGTAGGGGTGATAAGGATCAATGGAGCAATAGGGGTAGTGAGGATCCATAGGAGCAATAGGAGCAGTGGGGCAGAGTGGAGCAATAGGGGCAGTAAGGATCAGTAGGGACAGAGTGGGGCTGTAGGGGAACAGTGGGGCAGTAGGGGCAATAAGGATCAATGGAGCAACGGGGGTAGAGAGGATCCATAGGGGCAGTAAGAGTAGTGGGGCAGAGTGGAGCAATAGGGGCAGAGTGGAGCATTGGGGGCAGTAAGGATCATTGGGGCAGAGAGGAGCAGAGCGGGGCCTTAGGGATCAATAGGGACGATAAGGATCAATAGGGGCAGAGTGGAGCAGTAGGGGCAGTAAGGATCAGTAGGGCAGAGTGGGGCTGTAGGTGAAGAGTGGGGCAGAGTGGAGCAATAGGGGCAGTAAGGATCAATGGGGCAGAGAGGAACAGTGGGGTGGTAAGCATCAGTAGGACAGAGTGGGGCTGTATGGGAAGAGTGGGGCAGTAGGGGCAATAAGGATCCATGGAGCAATGGGGGTAGTGAGGATCAATGGGGCAGAGAGGAGCAGAGCGGGGCCTTAGGGATCAATAGGGACGATAAGGATCAATAGGGGCAGAGTGGAGCAGTGGGGGCAGTAAGGATCAGTGGGGCAGAGTGGGGTGATAAGGGGCAATCGGTGCCGTTATCCGTTCCCGTTGGGCTCACCAATAACCCCACCTGAAACTTTCCATCTCCCTTTTGAAGCACAAGCGGCTTTTGGAACAAGGCGACTTTTTTTTTCCTCCATGGTTTCATCGTCGTTTCATTATTATTAATTTTTTTTTAATTGACTTTTTTAAGGTGAAAATCTGGCTTTGTATTTTTTTTTTTTAAGTGGCTTTTTTTGTTTGTTTGTTTCCAACCCCCCCCTCCCGTCGTTGGAAGGTTTCAGGGCAAAATCGTGAGGCGCTGCAGAAACAAATACCCAGGAACTCGCTCTGCTGGGGACAGTGGGGACAGAGAGACAATTCTGAGCGGTGTTCTTCACAAAGCAGACATGGAGCACTCGCGGAGGGCGTTCCACCAACGAGGTAAAGATGTGTGGGGTTGGCAGAGCAGGGCTTGTGCAGAAATCCGTTGTTTCCACTGACGGAAGAAGGAAAACGAAAGGAAGAAAAAAAGCAAAATAACCGAACGGATGAGTTCTTGTGCCCCGGCGATGCTTTGGTTTTGTGAGTGCGGTTCGGTCCCTGCGCCCATGGCAATGCATTGCTGGTGGGGTGGAGTGGAATGGGAACGATGTGGGGCTGTGGTTGGAACCTCTACAGCCTCCACACCATGACGGCCTTAGGGTGGCCTCATCCTGCCCGGAATGCAGCAGATCTCCACGGGAGAGGGATTCCTGCCTTTGTGAGAAGTGTGTGCTAAGAAGAGAGTTGATTTGGCTGGCGAGCGACTGGCCTGTGCCTGGTGGTCCTATGGACCCAAATTCGGCAGCTGAAGCCTCACCCTCACCCTCTTCGGGTTGTGACGAGCGGGGCTGCTGGGCTGCCCATCTCCTGCACCCTGCTCAGTCACCGAACAGCCCCTGCCCCCCTCTCTGCACCTCTCTGCTCGTTGGCTCGTTCCAAAATACCCCCATCCCTGTGCAGAACGCAGCCGGGAGCTGCGCGGCTCCGAGCCCTCGCTTTTGCTAAAATAGAAGCAGAACAAATGGTCGGAGCGAGATCCTGGTTGTGAAGGCAGCCAAGGCTCTTCCTGCAGCAGCTGGTGGCTGGTATGCTGCGTCTTGCTCCCTTCAGCAAGCCTCTCGATAGAACTGGCATTTTACTGCAGGGGGGAGAGAAGCATCTGTCTGCAGGGCGGTGTTGGTGAGGCAGGGCTTGGCGCGCACCCCGTGCTTGCTGGGGGTTTGTATGGGGGGGATGCTGAAGTCACCCCGATGCGTGCGGTGCAGGGCGCTTTGTAAGCATCCCCCCCACCCCGTGCTGCTGCCGTCGGTGCGTCAGGTTTTCTCAGCAGTGGTTGCACACGGAGAGGTGTGGATTCCATCCTGGGATGGGGAGCGATGCTTTATAACCACGACCGCAGCAGTGCGGCGGTGAGACCCAAGAGGTTGGGTCGGGGGTTGGACTCGATGATGTTGAAGGCTCTCTCTTCTGACCTTCGTGATTCTGTGCCGTGCTGTGTTGCCATTGCATTCCTAGGGGGATTTGTCCCCCAAAATGGCATCGCTGGGGCACGGCGCTGTGCTGGGCTGAAGGAGTCAGTGAGGGAGGGATGCTTGGATGGCCCCGCAGCTCCCAATGGCAACATTGGCTCTGGGAGCAAAGAGCAAGAGACTGAAACGGAGCGTTGGGAGTGAGGTTGGAAGCAGGAAGCCTTGGCCGTGCTCTGCTCCTCTCAATCCCTGTGGCCAACAGCGACAGGATTCCATGCATGGCCCTGGGATGCAGAGGGCTGCTCCATCAGAAGAGCCCCACTTGTACAGGTGCGAAGGGCAGAGGAGCTGCCCATGCTTGGAGATGTTCTCCTCTCATCCTTTCGAGCTCTGTGTTCACCCGTGTGACCTTTGGGTGTTTCGGTGGAGGAGGGAGCAGGGCTGCTTTGCACGCACCCACACTGTGATTCTATGCACAGGGAGAATGGGGGGCTTTTTTTGTCCTGCAAATGCAGATTTGTTTTGTGTTCTGCTCAGACGAATACTGCTGTGGTTAATATGGAGCTCTGGGTGTTGCAGAAAGGAATCCTGGTGGCTCTGGTCTTGGCTGGGTTGGATGCGAGAGCTTTGGAGTTTGGTTCCTGCTTGGGGACTGAAGTCAAATGTTGTGAGAGGTTGTGTGCATCCTTCTGTGGCTCTGCTCCCAGCCTGGAACCCTGCACCAGAAATGGGGCACTGCAGGGTGCCCTGCACCAGCAGATGGGTGCTGCAGGGCGCCCTGCACCAGGAGATGGGTGCTGCAGGGTGCCATGCCACGCACCAAGGTGTTGCAAGGTGCCATGCTGTGCACCAGGGTCACGTTCTGCCCTTGACATGCTGGGATTTCTCCAATGTGGGAGCCCTGTGCCATGTGCACCCTGTGGGTCCCTGGGGCTTTCTGGCTCCCCCTGGGACCTGCTGACAGGTCATGGCCCATTAGGCAGTGTTTGCACAGAGCTGTTTGTCTGCCATCTTATTTTGGTTTTGATTGTTTTGGTAATTTTGCGTCACCTTGGGTTGGGAAGGGGTGCAGGATGGGAGCTGGTTTGTCATGCGTACAGGTGGGATTTGCTTCATTCCTGTGCAGTAGCAGCTTTTGGTGCTTTAGGTTCATTCCAGCACCTTCCAGCTCAACCCCACCAACCCAGGAGGTCCTTGGGACCAGAGCTGGGAGCACCCATGGGCATCCCTGGAAGCAGGGAGCAGCAGCCATGTGCATTCCCACCCCGAATCCCATTGGGATGGGATCCCACCCGCAACCCCGATGCAGGCAGAGCCACACTGGGAGCACAGCAAATCCCAGGGGTTGGGAGGACCCCATCACCCTCCTGGCTGCCTGATGAGTCCTGGGTGCTGCTTCGGGTGCTGCTTGTGTTTTACTTTTCTCCTCTATAGGTCCCCATCGTGGCTCATCTGCATTTTCAACCTCCTTCTCCCAACCGTTCTCACACTGAAGTCTGTAACGCTGAAATTATAGCATCGCCGTCGTTTCCGTGGCAACTTGCAGGGATGTATTTAAAAAAAAAAAAGGCCCAGAAGCCTTCTGAGGATTATGACTTCACTGAGGGATCAGGCTGGAGGGGAATCTGGGTCAGGCTGCTCTTCCCATCCCCTGTCATTTCCATGGTCACGCCAGGGCAGAGGCACCCATGGGTGCCCCCCCCTCGTTGCCCTCCCAGCACCTTGAGGTGCTGTGACCCGGGGGCATGAGGTCAGCTGCCCTCCCTCAAGCAGGAGCAGAGCAGCTGGGGGTCAACGGGGCTGCAGTCGCCCCTAAACCCCCCCAGTTTTCCAGCAGCAAAAGTCCCATTGCAAAGCATGCGTTGGCTTGCAGGAACCCAGAGCTGTGCTCCCTGCCCCCCCCCCGCATCCCAGCCCCCCGGTGCTTTGTGCATTGCAAGTTTTCTCTCTCATCCCCCAAAATAAACAGGAGTGTGGTGGGGTTTTGGGGGTTGTTTTTTTTTTTTTCTTTCTTTCCTTTTTTTTCTTTCTTTTTTTTTTTTTTTTTTCCTCCCTTTTTCCACACCCCCAGAGCCGCTGTTGCTGGTGGCACAAAGCCCAGACTCCGTAGGAACTCAGAAATGCTGCAGCTCCAAGCCCTGGCTGCCCTCTTGGTTTCGCAATCTTGGGGAAGGGGGGGTGGGGGAATAAGATGGGAGGGGATGTATTATTTTGACATATATACACATACATGTATTTTGTGTATTAAAGATTTTTAGGCTTTCCCACCAGTGGGGATGAGCAGCCTGGTGGAGCCGGGCGGATGATTTCTTTTGTAAGTTCCTTCCACCGTTTTTGGGGCTGTGTTGGAAGGGGGGGGGAAGGGGGGAGGGGGCTGCATTGACCCTCAGTGAGGCTGGGAGGGGGTCTGGCTCAGGTGATGCTGAGCTCCAAATTGCCACCACGAGATCCTTGTGTGGCACCGAGACTCAAAGCTGGGATGGATGCAGATGGGATCCCGGATGGGATCGCGCGGCCGGACCCGGGGATGTATTTATTTCTCATTTTACGGCTGGTTTTCTCAAGGCTTTTGGGGCCAGGGAGGTGACGGGGTCGTGTCACTGCAGGATCTGATAAGGGTGAGATGCCTGCAAAGAGAATTCCTCGCAGATCATTATTTATACCTCTGCCTGCGTCACTGGTAAACATCTGGATTCGCTCCAGACGTTTTCATCCGCTCCGTTCCGTGGGCTCTGATGCAGATCTGGGTCGCATCCCTTTGGTCGTATGGTTTTGGCTGAAATTTGGGGTGAGTTTGCAGGGTGTTCCTGGGGCTCGGCCATTCACAGAGCTCCCCATCGGGCTGCTGGCTGTGAGCGAACATCAAGCAGCAGAACTTTCCCACTGTGCGTGGATACTGGGGGGAGGGAGGGAGGGGGGTAAAAAAAAAACACCCCCTGCGGCCGTCGAAAGAAAGAAGCAGCCCCAACCGTGTCGCTTTCTGTTTTAGAACGGAGGCCGTTTTGCTTTTTGGATGGACCAGCATCCCGACCTCTCTGCACGCGCTGCGCCGAGCTCCGCGAGGTGAGGGCTGACTCTGTGCTCTGTTTGCCTTAAGGCCGAGGTTGTCTCGTTAATTAGTTGCCTCCAAATGGGAGCTGAGGGCTTTGGCACGGGAGCGGAGCGTCGCTCTGCGGCTGGGATGCAGACGGAGGGGCAAAGCGGGCTGCTTCACCCACGGCCTTCATCTCTTGAAAAGTGCATTTTGCTAATCCTTCATTAGGCTCTCATTGTGAGCTCGTTATCCTGTTAGGGCTTAGGGCTGCGCAGGCGTTCGGCCCAGCTCTGCTTCGGTGCCCGGGTCTGCAGGGAGGTTGCAAAAAGCCAAGCAAAGCCTTGCACACCCACACATGCCCACGTGTGTGTGCAAACCAGGAAGCAAGCACGGAAGGGATGAGCTGGTGCTCGGAGACAGGCTCAGCTATATCTGGTTGAAAATGAAAACCATTGTGGCTAGTGAGAGCATAGGGGTTCCTGGCTCTTTTCTTCCCCCCCCACCCCCCAAATAAATGGTGGGATTTTTTTCGCCCCTCTTGATTCTCTTTTCGCTGTGGCGTGTGGGGTTTGGGGGCTGAACGTCGCTGCTTTCTTTCTGCCCTCTGCCAAGGGAGGTGCTGGGCTGCGTGTCCTTGGCCCCTTCTGCTGCTCAGCTGATAAAGATGAGCCTAAAAATGCAAAAAAGCCTGGCAGCAAAAAGCCCAACCTGAGGGTGCCTTTGTGCTGTGCTGCAGCAGCCCGACCTCGTGCCCCCCCTGTGCAGACCTGGAAGGAGGTGGTGGCTTTGCTGAAGGAGCACTTGGGGATGGAGCTGGGAAAGCAATGCGCATTTCCAGGTGGATGCAGAGTGAACGCAGCCCTTCTGTGTGCTGTAAGGCATGGAGCTGGGCGCTGGGAAACCTCCTGCTTCGGTGGATTTCTGTTCTCATGGAGCTGCAGTGCAGTTTCCATGCAAGGGAGGAGCAGGATCACATCCCCCCCCCACCGTAGAAAAGAATGCAGTGTAAGCAGGAGCGAATGAAGGGGCAGAGAACGGAGAACTCAAAGCGAAAAGAGTATTTTTAAAAGACAAAAATCCCTTCTTGGTGACCCAGAGAGGCGACCGTAGAGCAAAATCCCCTCCAAAAAAAGTTTCCACGCTCTCTGCTGTTGCTCCTCTGTGCTTTGTGCAGTAACTGTGAGAAAGCATTGGGAGCTGAGGGGACCGAAGGGGTGTGTGTGCATTTTATCAGCTGAAAGAATGATCAGATGGAAAAAGCAAAACATTCCCATTCCTTTCAATCACCTTCTGGGTCGCAGCGATTTTAGTATTATTTTTTCCCCTCTCCTTCCGTCTCGAATCCAAAACGTGGTGATTTTTGTTTGTTTGTTTGTTTGGTTTTTTTAAGCAGCCAGGACCTTGAAGTTCATGTTTTAGGGGAAAAGCTGCGGCCCCGCTGAGCCCAAATTGCAGAGACCTTCTGCTTTCTCCTTTGGTGCCCACAAAATCCCCCTCCTCCTCCAAAATCTGTGCGTGGGCGCAGTGACGGCAGCGCTGGGGAAGCAGCGCTCAGATCCCTGCAGGAGGAAGGAGTGGGTTTTGGGGATGGGGGGGATGGGGGGGGTTGGGGGGGATGTGTGAGAGCCGTGCTCGTGGAATGGGAAAGGGCGAAGGTGGCAAAGCTTCGGTGGGATCCATCTCTTGTCCTGCATCCCTGCTGCATCCTTGGGACTTGGGGCTGCATTTCTGCCTCCAGGATGGTTTTTGAGCTCAGGCCTGGAATTTTGGAGGCTGGGACCTGCACTTGTGCCTTTGGGCACCTTGGGGCTGATGTTCATCTCCTCGCAGGGCCAGTTGGAGCTTTGGCCCCCAGTTGATTCCCCCCTCCCCCCTCCCCCCCCCCCCTCGGCTCCCAGTTGATTTTCGGATGCTTTGCTCTGGGGAAGCGCAGGTTTTGCAGCAGCACCAGCCTTCTGGTTGCGCACCCACCCTGCATTCATTCCTCTTGGTTTGCAAAGTACCGGAGGATGGGGAGGGAGGGAGGGGGGGGGGGGGGGGATACGCTGCAGCCCCTCCCATCTGCCCAGTGCATCCTGCCCTTGTTTGTCAGGCTGCCCGTGTTTGTTTGGTTTCCATAGGGAGAGCTGTGCTGAGCCACCTGGGGGGGGTGGGGGAGCTGCAGGCAGACTTTGGGGGGGGGGGGGCTGACAGCTGCTGACTCAGGTAGCGCAGTGAGGACCCGTGCGTTGCTCCTCGTTATCACTGTTTTCTCCTGTCCTCCCTCCGGTGTGTGCTGGAGCTTTGTGCCCAGTGGCCGTGGAGTTTGGACTGGGTGCTGGCGGGTTGCAGGGTCAGTGGGTGCTCAGCCAAGGTGCACGTGGCCGGCTGTGTGCTGGGAAAGGGTGAGCTTTTGCCCTGACCCAGGTGAAGCCATGCAGAACCTCAAGGAGCGCTCGGTCAACCGGAATGGGTTGTTCCCAAATGGGGAGTGTTGAGTTGATTCCCCTTCTTCAACTGCCCTGGGCATCTGCGTGGCAATTCCTGGTGCTGTTGTGCAAGGTGCGTTGGCACTGAAACGTGCCATGTGCATGGGTGTGTGCTGCAGCACTCTGCTTTGTGGATGGGGTCCCATCCTGTCGCTGTGCCCCCCGCCCCGCTCAGCAGCCTGGGTGAATGCAGCTCCTATTGCAGTGGGCAGCACTGGATGACACTCTTCCCCTTCCTCTTTTTCCCTTCAGGGACAAATTGCTTTCCTTTCGTCGTCTGTGAGCAGCTGCTTCCCATGCAAAGAGTGTGTGGAGCAGGCGTGTAGCCCCAGTGCTGGGTGCAGGGTGTGAGACCCCCATGGTGGGAGGGGGCTTTGTTGCAGTCTGTGCACTGCACAGCACCCACTGCTGCCCTGGGGGTTCCTCAGCCCTGCAACGCTGCAGTTATGTGAGTTCCAAACAAGTTCGGGAAACGAAGCCTCAGTGCTGGGATGGAATGAGAGCGCCCAGTGCTCTGCTTTGCACCCAGTGCCGCGGTGCAGAGCTGTTGCTTTAAGGAGCTGGGTTCTGAGATGGGTGCCAGCAGGTGGCAATGTGACCAGAGGCATCGCAGGGCAAGGGCGAACCGCCCAGCTGGGTGCTGCGGGCATCCCTGCCTCAGCACACGGGCAGGAACCCATCTGGCTTCCCCACCAAAGGGGTTTGGGGGGTCGTTGCAGGCTGACTGAGCAACGTGGGGCTGTGCTGAGCTGTGCCTATGGCTGTGCTGAACACTGTGCACACAGAGGCTGCGCCCAGGGACAGAAGTGCTGTGACCCACCGGAGCCTCTGTGCCCATCCCTTGTCCCACGTTTGCCCCACGCCCCTCGATCCCGTTGGGACGCGGTGCTCTGGTGCCGGCCCTGTGCCCTCTGCCCACCCCCACGTCCACCCAGCTGCAAGTTTCGCTTCTGCATCTCCAGCACTGAAGGGGGAACTTGGCCAGCGAGAGCGAAACTCAGCGGCTGCAACGGTTGCACCCGCACGCAGCCCCCGCCAGCCCTCCGTGTGCCCCGGGGCCTCAGGGGACCTGCAGCTCCTACTGCCCCCCGTGCCCTCCTGGCTTTTCTCTTCCCATTCTTGGGATGAAAAGCCCGAGTGATAACAAGCTCGTTGAGCATAATGGAGTTTCCAGCGGTGGCTCGAGCAGGGACGGCGCCTGAAGAGACCTCTGTGTTTTGTGGGTGGATGGTCTGGGGTTGGCTGTGTCAGCCCTGGAGAGGGATGGTGAGCGGATCAGCCCAGGGGGAAGTTTGGGTTTGGAGCCCAAATGTTTTGTGGCCCCAGACCCGTTGCTAGAGGAAACGTGAAAAGGGGAAGGAGGGATTGTGGTTGGGCAGCTCTTCCCCTCTGCAATCTGAGCCTCCGTCTCGGCCCTTCCACCTCCCCTTGGCGTGGACTGTGCCCCCCGAGTGCTCTGTGTCCCCACGTTGGCATGGGCTGGTGGTGACCCTGCAGATTGTGGTGGCCCTGGGGACACAGTGGCACGCACAGAGCTCCCTGCAGCCGGGCTTTTCCATCATGGTGCTAGGAAAGCGGGCGCATCTCTGCCACTAATTGGCTCCTGATTGATCTAATGAAGTGGCCGAGCATCTCGCAGCCTGCGCTGCTGCAGTGAAGCTGTCCCAGCCACCCAGCTCTGGGGGTTTAAAGAGGGGACACAAACTTTGTGCCCTGGGGCTGTGCTGCCCACATGGAGCGAAACCGCAGCTCCGGCTTCCGAACAGGAACAGATTTTTCTTGTCTGCTCAGCGTTTCTGGGTGAGCACCGGACAAAAAGATTGCTTTCTCTCTCTCCCCCTTTTCCTTCCCCTTGTTGTTTTGGTGTGTTCTTTTTTTTCACTTTGATTTGCTCCACAAGGAGATGATGTCAGCTGCTTTAAATAAACAGCACTGGTGTTATCTCTGCCTATGGCACGCTCTGTGTGCACGGTGGCTTTTTTGCACCGGTCCGGGCTTAGCTGGGCAGTGCATGGCTGAATGCTTGGCTGCTGCTGCTGCACGCTTAGGGTGAGAGCCCTGCCCATGCATTCACACATCCTCCACCCTGCTCCCATGTGAGCAGTGACACAGCTTGGCAATGCCCTGCGAGCAGGGGGAGGCTCTGCACAGGCACGGGTGAGCCGTGCGGCCGGTGGGGTTTGGTGCAGCCATGGGTGCTGTGGTCCTGTTGGTGCTCGTCACCCGCCACCCTCCTCTGCTGTGGGTGATGCTGGGGTTTGCAGCACTTGCACCCCGACAGTTTGCAGCAGTTATGTTCTGACAGTGCAGCTTGCAAGCCTCGGGTTGGCAGCTGAAAGCAGAAGCACGGGTCGCACTGCTGCGTGCCCTGGATGCGCAAGGTGCAAGGTGTCCTGTGGTTTTTCTGCCTGCTCCCTCGCTTTGCAGGGCACGGCTCCTTTTTTGTGTGAGGAAATCGAGGGCTGTCCCTTATGGACCTTCTGTTTGACCAGCAGGCTGCTCTGGCCATTACAACAGGTGCAAGAGGGAGAGAAAAGCTGGAGCTCCCCATCTTCGATGCT